GGCGTGAGTGATGGAACCATTTTTGCATCTAGAACACTTAGACCCCCTCAGGAATCCATAGGTTGAGAAACCACTGCTCCAAGGCTTCGTGTTAGGTTTAGCAATTATTTTTCTTTTTTGACCTATTTGTAGATCCATAATTATAGGCGCTTCGGTAGAACTTGTTGGCCTCATACTTAGCAAAAAACTTAGCAGTCTCCAACTTAAGATAAGATGCCTTCATGTTTTCTGGCGGCTCATCATTGTAACTGCAATTCACCAGTTTTAAGTACTACTCTATTATTGAGCTGGCTCACCAATTTGGGCGGCTCATTCTTCCTTTAATGATCATGTCACCCTTCATAGCCCACCAGGCGAGTTATCATTTCATAAATGACCCGCCCTTTATTTCTAGAGCTCTCAACCCTTTTTTAGGCGGCTCATCATGTCAAAAACCACAATTTGCAACTGGGTGCCTTCCCAAGTTTCCCAGTTCATGCTCAATGATTACAAAGATCAGGGTTTTCTGCCGGCTCAAGAGGTGATCGGCTGGCGAGCTCCCCAAGGGGAAAATGTTCCTCAACCCGATGACGGGGAAGTCGTGGTATTCACAAACCATCTCCTTAGAGGCTTCTCTCCCGTCGGGTCAAGATTCTTCCGGTACGTCTTAAATTTCTTCAATCTTCATCCTCAAGATCTTGCCCCAAATTATGTATCCAACTTGTGCCAATTTCAAGTTCTCTCTGAAGTGTATAAGCAAATTGACCCCACCATTCCTATCTTCTGAGAGTTTTTCTACATCAACCGCCAAACTAAAGAATAAGCCTGCTGCTGTGGATGAGCCGGCTGCTAGGGGCGATTCACCGATAGCTGATGCTCAGTCGGAGGTAGAACTTGACTCCCTTGGCCGTATCTTTATTGAACTCGCTGACGCTTCTTATTCTTAGGGTGATTCTACCACAAGCCGGGCTGATGATGTTGAGGTAATTTCCATCTCTTCCGGCTCAGAACCTTTGCCTCCAAAGAAAACAAGGCGGGGCGTTCAGAATGTAAAATTTGCTCACCCAGATGCTCATTTGGATTCGAATTTTCTTTTGAAGAAAACCTAGCATGAATTAAGATTCCACACTCGGAGCAGCTCCCAAGATCTTGCGGTCGGCTTACCCGACAAATCAGCCGCCCGCAGGCGACGTAACGAGGTGCCTCACAGTCCAACTTCTTGTCTTCCAAAAGCAGGCCTTATCAAGCAGCCTCTTAATCCTTCTGATTCAAATTATCAGGAGTCACCACCATCCTCAGGAGACTCGTCCGCCACTCAGCTGTCGACTTTGATCATAAATCTCGGGTAATAATTTTATCAAGTATTGGCGGCTTACCATAATCATTATTGTGCTTACATGAACCTGTGGTCTTGATTTCAGGGCCAAGGCTAAAACCAAGAAGAGAAAAGTTGGTGAGTCATCCACGACTCCTGAAAACCCTGAGTCAAAGAACCCAACATTGGTGACCCCTGAGGCTCACATTGAAACACCAGAGGGCCATCTTGATGAACAAACTGAGCCGCCCCCGCAAAGTGAGTTGGCGACTACTGCAGTGATGGACGCCCAAGCTATCCTTCATAACCCGAGGGGTGATCTTAACCTGCCAAGTCTGGCTCCTGCTTAGAGCCTCTCCAAGGCGGCTAAAGATGCTTCTCTTCTTGAAAAGAATAACGACGAGACCTCTATTACCGGGGAGGCTTATAAACCTCCAGAAGTCTCCAACGTTCTGACCAAGATCACAACAAAAGATGAGAGGCCCTTGTCTGAAAAGGGAAAAACCAAGCTTGAGCTGCCCAACTACGAGGAATTCAGCATAGAAGAACTGCATGCGGGCTATTTAGCCCGCCTTTCTACCAGTCGTGACATGGAAGCCGACAAGGTAAACATGATGAAGAGGAAATATGACGTATGATCAACTTTCCCCACTAGTATCTATCCTTGTGTAGGCCCCAAGTCTCACACATAGGAAGTCTTGAGTATGTATGAGACTTGTACATAGAATATTGAAGCTTAAAATGTTGCCCCCAAGGGTCGAGTTATAATGCCAATGATAAGCTGGTTCTTTTAGATAGAAAAACTTTTTAAGATAAAACGCCTGGTAGCCCCCAAGGGCCGGCTCATTTTCCTGAAATGAGTCGGATCTTCCAAATGTACTTTTGAAAAGGTAACCTGTAGCCCCCAAGGGCCGACTCGCTTCTATGAACTGAGTCGGGTCTTTCTGTGTTATCTTTTGAAGGAAAAACTGACACATATTAGCCTCCAAGTGCCGAGTATGTTGCTTGCAAAATGCTTGGGACTTCGGTAATAACATTAATTTTCCTGTCATAGCCCTCAAGTATAGGGTTGTACATTATTGCCAGCTTGGGACTAAGAAAATATCTTATATATGAGTTATCTCCTTGACTTGCAGGAAGCCTTGAGCGTGGCCGAGTCAAACTTGGCCGACTTGAAAAAAGATGTGAAATCTGAACAAGCTCTACGAACCAAGGCGGAATCAAGCCTGCAATCTTATTTAGAGGAACTGGAGAAAGTTTAGGCGGCTTTTGAAACAGAGAAGATAACCTTTGAAACTGAGAAAGCCGCCTTGACCAGACGTGCAGAGGCCACCGAGAACCAACTAAAACCGGTTACTGAAGAGCTGGCCGGGTTGAAACGGCATATCTCTCATATGACCTAGGCCATATTTGGTAAGCAATATGGGGCGAATATGGGGGCTCCCGGGCGCGCCCGCCACGTCGGACCGGACTGCATGATCCCACCTCCAACTGCACCAAATCCACAAAACCCTTCCCCCCTCCAGTCGCCCTCCAAGCTTTCCCGCGCCCTCGCCATCCTCCACCCTTACTCCCCATCTTCACCACCTGTCCCGACCCACTGCCGGAGATGTCGTCCAGCCCGTCCCCGACCGCCGTGATGGATACACAGTTTGCCTCGTCCGTCAGCGTCCCTTCGTCGGCTCCGTCTTGCAAGGTGGAGAACGTCGTCCGGAAGTTGCGGTGACGCCAACAGCGAGAGAGGGAGGCAGCGGCGGCGTTGCAGGGAGGTTCAGACATGGTGGAGTAGGACAAGCAGGACGCATTCCGCGCCCAACCAGTGATCCGAATCAATCTGTCACGCTCGGACATTGATTTCATCTTGGTTTGTCCGGTTTGTTGAACTAGGATTTGCTTTGGCTTTGTTTCGAAGAGTTGAATTCGAACAATTTGTATCGTATGATCGACGTGCATGGATTGCATGGATTTGAGGTATGTGGATGTGCGCCGCAACATATGAGGGACCGACGGACGCTATCCGCGAACGGGCCGGAGTATTCTTCTTCGCAGAAAGATACATCAATGTTTAGAACTTGCTGACTTTCTAAGGCTGGGTCATACGAATTTCAATAGGGGTATGACTTAATTGTATCTTAATGCCATTATGCCTTTATTATAACCGGAGACAGACCGATTTTAATCGTTGATGTGTTTAGGGAGTGTATCGAAGCAGATGTAAAATGGAGAAGAACACTGCTACAGATGGCACGCCATATCCACCATCCAAGCCCAAGGCCAAAACAATACCAGCAGTTGGATTAGTCATCGTCTGAGCGTCGGAAGGTATCAACTGTAGCGCCTACGTCATATGGAGCCCATGTCCCATTTCGTGTTTGTGGAATCGGACGGCTTCACCGATCGCCTCATAAATTACGAGCGTCAGCGATTCCCTGGGCAGCAACTTCATCGATGGCATGGCATGGCTTCGCGCCGTGGTCTGCTCGATTCCTCGTGCCGCGGTCAACCCCGCTTGGCCAGTGCCCAGACCAGTACTCACAGTGCAATTATCACGCAAGTAGCCCAGGGTACCCCTCCAGTGGCCGTAGCAGTACGCCCATACCCCCAGCTAGCGAGCAGAGCGGGGCGGAGTGCCGAATGATGGCGCGCCGGGTCCGGAGCCGGGCCATGGCAGGCAGCGGCAGCGGCCGCGGCGATGATGATGTCGCGCCCGCGACAGCATCGCTCTGCCCGCCCCGTACGCGCGCGGGCGCGGTCGAACTCGCTTCGCGTCTGCCCGTTCCGCGCCCCTCGTCGGCCAGCAGCACGTGCCCGCGGGGCCGCCGCGCAGGCCACCGCCACCCCACACCGAGCCGGGCGAGTCGCAAAGCGGCGCAGCTTTGCGGAAAGCCGCTGCCGGCCGTGCCCTGCCCCCGCGTGTCCGGACTCCCGAACGCCCCTACCTCCTCGACGCGGCCTGGGTTTCCGCTGCTACAGCGACACCACCACCACCTCATCTGCGTCGAGGCTCCTGTCATGTGCTCCCAATTGAATCGTGGTGTGGGAGCGCTGGTTGGTTGGTTGGTTGGGAGTAGATGATATGCAGAGAGAAGGACTGTCTAAATGCAATGGCTACTACATCACATTACACACACAATGCATCAGTTTCCAGCATCAAGTTCGCACGATCGTCTGTGCTGACGAGGAGGAAGTTCGTCGTCCCTCAACTTGGCACGATGGCTTCTAGAGTAATATAATATGGTACTAGTAGTTTTTTTTCTTTTTTTTGTCCGAACATATATAATCTAGTACTCCCTCTATAAACTAATATAAGAGCGTTTACATTACTAAAGTAGTGATCTAAATGCTCTTATATTAGTTTACGGAGGGAGTAGCAGTTTTGTTTGGATAAGATTGACGAACCAGAGTATGAACCAAGAATACATAAAACTGCTTGGATATGTGATCAAAATTGCAATGCTATCATCCCTAGTTGTTCTCAAGTAAAGCTCTGCTACAAACAAGCAGACCAAAATACTAGCAGTAGTAATCAGCCTACAACAGCCGAGCAAGATTCCGTAGGTGTTCTATCATCAGTTCATACATTTTGCGTCCACATAAACAAACAAATTTCAGCACTCAGTGCATGTCATGTTTACATTTGAAACAAATTACGAAGGCTACTTGGCACCGAAGATTGTACGGTGATTGGCATGCCACTGCTCAGTGATCACTTGCATTCTAGCCCTGCCTCCGCTGCTCGCCGGGGCGTGCTCTTCCTCCGGTTCCCAATCTGCCTGAACCCATTGGTCCTAGCTGACTCGTCGCTGCTTGATCGAACGCTGGAATTGCTGTTCTCTTCCAGGACGATGTTGGGGCTCTCCTTCAGTGGCCTGCCTCTCTTCACACCAGCACTTGCATTCAGTTTAACATCTTTGCCATCTTCATCGCCGCCATCGACGTCTTCTACGAAATTCTCAACATCAACCTGTTCGATTTTATCGGCGAAGTGCTTCTGCGGCCTTCCCCTCCTCTTTCTCGCGGGCACAACCTCTTCACCGCTGCTTCCTTTGTCTTCATGGCTCCTGGCAATGGCCGCCGTCCTTCCTCTGCCTCTGCCTCTTCCTCTACCCATTGGTTGGTTCAGCTCAGCAGCAGCAGCAGCAGCAAGAACTATATATTGGTTTGGGCAGCCACTGAAGCGGCTGCTTCTGTTTATCAGTTTGCTTACTGAAACTTGAGTGTTTTACAGAGACACCTTGTGCTAAGATAATCCAGCTAAAGCTATGCTACAAATCTGCAGTCGTAGCATGCAGAACAGAGGTTACAATTTTTTTACTCCTGAGGTGAATAGCCTCCGATTTGGATTAACAGAAAGCAACAAACTAAATCAATCTACATGCCGTTATAAAACAAGCTAGTTACATAACCAAATGGTATACTTGAGTTCTTGGCTTGTGGAGGTGAGAAATGAGCAAGTATGATTCTTATTCATTCTCGAAAAAACTATGATCCTTATTGAGATCCATGGCAATCGAAAAGATGCAAATTCAGATCAAGCAACATAAATATCCAGACGCAAGCTACACAAAACAGCAAAGCAATACGCATCTGACGGATACAAACTTAAATAAATCTCTTACAAAACATATAACATCTATCTATGCAGGAAAACAGAAAGATAAACAAGGACTGATTCAAATCAACAGCTGAACCATTTCTCAGATTAATGGATGGAAAACGAGGAACTGACCTGCCACAGAGCTGGCGTCTACTCCAAGCAGCACCACCAATCTCAGCAAAAAAAGAAGAAGAAGAAGTTCTTCTGGCGCTAGAGGGAAAGAAACGACGGATCGGTGATAATCTTTGGCTTGCGATGCCGGAAGTACAGCGGATCGGGAGGCAGCAGCAAAGATTGCTATATGTGGCGTGTGGGAAGCAGGAGGGGGCTCTTATCGACGAACAGCTACCAAAGCTAGCGCTCTGGCACTTCTGGATGGCTGAGCTCCAATAGCTGCTGCTGGTGCTGGGGCATAGCAGGCAGGCAGCAGCTGGGGTGAGAGAGAGAGGGAAAGAGAGGGGGAGCTAGCCCTTCTAGATATATTGTTGAGGGGTCATTTGCCCATTGTTTATCATTTTTACTTGCAGCCTACCCACCGTTGAAGATAGTTATGTGCTTCTTGGCAATTTCCGGGCTTAAAAAGTTAATCGGCGTGGATCCCTAGGAACGTGCTGCAGTTTTACCATGATGGCATTTTTGTTCAGTGTTAGCGGATGTTTAACGTCGGTAGCAGTAGTTGCCTTGCCTTTCGACACCTGACAGCCCCCCTGTGCCTGTACCTGCCTCCTAGGGTTACCAACCATTCTACTGGTCATGTTCTACTATTTACCGCACAGTATTAGCCGTGTCCTGCATGTTTCTACTCGGCGTGTTACCAGCTTATGCACTTGTCTAAGAAAAAATATCAACGTTATTAATTAATTATTATCTACAGTGAAATGGCACTTAGTTACCACTACCAGACAGTACTTACTAAGTAGACAAAGCCGAGCCCACTCCAGCTCCTGTTGCAAGTGGCTCGACTAAATTATTTCTGAATCCTGACACGGCACTGCACCATGATTTCTTCCCCTCTCTGCTTTGAATTCGTATTTCACCTTCTTATTTACAATTACTCGCATGGATTTTGGATCGAGATGACTTCTTCTAGATAAAGGACCAAACTAGCTAGGGCGTGTACTGATGATCAGTTGCGTGGCACCACCGTATCTCTATACAAGCATGAACGAAGATGGGTGTACTTGCTGCTCTTGATGTCAGGTCCTGGCCGAGTTATTGCCCTTCAATTCTCACCACTACCTTGTGAACTCGCCATGCTTGAAACATGAACTGTGAATTAAAATAAACATTTTTTTTTGAATGTTGGTAGTTGCACTACCAAATTCATTGATCAGAAGGGAACACAGTACAGCAGGTGCCCAAGGACAAAAGCATAAAAAATAACATTCTACAGTAACTCGGTGCAACAAAAGATTGTGTTTCGTCACCACCTCCGGACCTGCATCTGCGCTCCACCAGCAGCGCTAGAGGCGTCAGCTGGGGTACAGTTTACGCTGAGGTTTTGCAAATAAAGCGAGGGAGATTAGGACCACGTACGGCCCTTGATGACGCCCGCTGCAGATCCACGCCATCTGATCTGCTGACACGAAAAAGGACGGGAAAATGATCTAGGTGCAGACCAAATTGCAGGAGGATCAGACCTACCGATGCCGAGCTAGGCCCCCCTCTTGTTTCAGCTCAAATCAAATCCAACACGTTGCTTGCTCGTCGCAGAGGTTTCCGAAGCTGATGATGAAATCCCTCGAAGCCAAATCTGTTGAAAAGTTGAAAACGAGTTTATTTATTGTTAGATTGATCAGCCGCGTTACGTGCATCTCAAATTTCTAGCGTGCATTCGTCACCGTGAAGGCCACCCTTCACCAGCCTGAAAACTGAGAATAAGACATGAGATCAACACCGATCATATATAACCTCAGGTTTTTAGTCTCGGTTCGTCGTCATGAAGGCCACCCTCCACCAGCCTGAAAACAGAGAACAAGACATAAGATCAACATCAGTCATGTATATAACCTACGACGAAGCTAACCGTTTGACAAACAATTTCAGAAAGACAGAAAGAGACAGAAATTATACCTGGTTCCATTATAATGATGTGAGTACAGTTTTTGGACTGCAAGGATAGCAACCACTCACAAGTAGAAGTATGGCTATACAAAAAATAATAAGACTGGATTGCAATGTCGTGATGACAATAAGATTTTCCGTGCAGCTTGCATCGCCGAGTCTAAAACTCATATGAAATGGAAACTAAGATTTGATTACTATCTCGAACACAACACCCAGTGTACAATACAACACGAGAAAATACAAACCATGAAGGCACTATCCAAATCGTATGTTTTCGATGTTCATCACTACACGCTCTGCACAATTTCACACAGTTACAGCACTCTATTTGGGCAAAGATTTGATAAAATTGACAATGAGGTCTACCATCTGGGTATCAAAAGCAGGACCTTCCATTTGGAAGTGACCGGCTCCTTCAATCAAATGTGTATCAACCCGTCCAGCAGCCGACTTGATCTTGTTTTGCAGCTGCTTTACGCTCGTAAAGCCATCTTTAGTTCCCATGATGAATAACTTTGGTTTCTCAGACTTGAGGATAGCATCATGATGTCTGCCGAATAGGATTGAGGCCATTAAACCAAATGGGTACCCGATGCTAACATAGCCAACCACCTGGTCAACCTTATCAACTGCTGATCCCGCAATTGGTGCTCCTGTGACAGGAAACTAGAGTGAGATACATGACCAAGCATAATTCAATAGCTACATGAAGGGCTGAAGATAACTAGTAGAGTGAGATACGTTATGTTAACTAGTAGGCACTATTGTATTTACAAAATAAAGCGAGGGAGAAATTGTATTTCATCATCATTCTGATCCACTATTGTATTTTGTGCAAAAACACAAGTTCTCTTACCTGTACTCAATTAGTTGCGACTGCTTTGCAGTTTGCACTGTGTTAACATAACAAAATCTTAAGACCCTTGTACGTCAATCCAGTTAGGAGCACAGGGAGCAGTACTGGGTAGAGGTAAGCAGAGTAGGTGTGCTTTGCACACCTCATTACTGTCAAGTCAATACTAATCTTTACGACAGATGAGTGGCCAAAAAAAGGTATAGCACAAGTGTCTAATGCCCAGGTTGCTTCTGAGAAATACTACTATAATCTTCTTAGTCTAGTGTCCTGCATTAATGATCAAATGAAAAGTAGTGGTAATGACCTAGCAAGAAAGGTTGCTTATGAGAAGACTGGGGTTACCCTAAAAATAGGATAAGGTCACCACGGCAGCCTCTTAGTCTTACGGCTTGCTTAGCACCTGCTCAACCGCCCCAAACACAATTCAGTGAGTAATACCCAGCTGTTAGTTAGATATTTGGACTTTGGGGTCACTGAAATAGTAAGAGAACTGTATGATGAGTACATTTGAAGGAAAATTCAATGAGGACAGGAAGTTTGAGCTTTCAATTCTGATGCAACAGTGCAACGCATCGCCTATTCACTAGTCACAGGTCAAGATGAGTGTATACTTGTCAATTGCGTATGCCATTTGTTGACATACAGTTTCAGAAGAGCTACTTGTTTGGTCAATTTGATTACTGGCCTCACTGAATCTTGCGTCATGGCAAACTGAACATGCATCGTTGGAGAAGAGCAGGGTATCCTACATTAAGGATTGGCTGAAAAATAGTGGTAATAACCTAACAAGAAAAATTGCTTCTGAGAAGACTGGGGCAGCCGCTGAGCCTCTGAGTCTTAGGGGTTGCTTAGCAGCCGCTCAACAGCCCCGAGCACAAATCAGTGAGACAGTGAGTAATACTCAGCTGTTAGTTTGATCTTCGGACTTTGGGGACACTGAAGTAATAAGAAAATTGTTCGATGAGTATATTTGAAGGCAAATTCCATCAGGACAAAAGGTTGTTTGAGCTTTCAATTCTGATGCAACAGTACAACGCATCGCCTATTCATTTCTGTTCGCAGGTCAAGATGAGTGCTCGGTCGTCAATTGCGTATGCCATTTGCTGATACATTCAGAATAGCTACTAGTTTGGTCGAATTGATTACCGGCTTCGCTGAATCTCACAACAAGGCAAACCGAACACTTACGGAGAGGAGCGAGGGGATCGTCGGGGTCAACCTACCGGCGGAGGAGCCGACGAGGAGGACGGAGCGCGGCTTGAGGGTGTCGGCGACCCAGCGGCAGACGGCGACGACGTCCCCGACCTCGCTGGAGCCCGTGAGCGACGCGCGGCCGGTGGAGCGCCCGGCGCCGCGCATTTCGAAGGTGACGGCGCGGTGGCCCCGCTCCGCGAGGCCCTGGGCCATGCCGCGCAGCAGGCCCTGCACGCCGCCGAGGATCGTGTAGGGGTGTACGAGCACCACCGCCACGTCCTCCGCATCCTCCACCGGCGCCGCCGGCTTGAAGAGCCGCACGCTCAGCTTGGCCCCGTCCGCCGTCTCCACCGTCGTCCACTCCATCCTGCTCCCGTCCGCTCCGGCCAGTCCACTC